TGTACTGTTAAACCCTGTATTAATAACTCAAAAATTGATTTTTCCGACGAGTGACTGGTTTGGCTTGTCTTTGCCACATATGCAGACATATAAATTTAGGCTGTTTTCCACTAGGCGAATTTATTCACGCAAATCTGAAGTGTTAGTTCATGCGCATGCACATTCACAATTCTATTGGAGTTTTTTTGATTCAGCAAAATCAGTAGTTCGAACTGTTTCTACTTTTTGCGAAGCAAAAAATTGAGCAACCAATCAGAGCTCAGGAAGCAGACCAACACTTTCGATTCGTGCGAATAAATTCACCTAGTGGAAAACGGCCTTTAATGTGTTAAGAAAGCTTATGTAATCAGATCCCTTGAAAGTGGCCTCTTCCAATTTGCTACCCCTGAATCTTAAGAATATTTTTTTTAATCACATTATTTTCTCCACATCTAAACATCTAAAAAATCGTCATACAAATTAGGTGATTTGATGTGTGAATTGTTTTCTGTATTTGCAGCCGTTGTCATCCATGCCATCAGTTGTTGATGAGGTCACTGAATCTGATTCTCGTGCATCCTCACCGACATCCTCCTCTCCACACAACTCTGTGTCAAATTTCAAAACCAGGCTTTCCGTTAGCCAGTCTCAGAGTCAGTTGAGCAAAGGTATATCAAAGACACCCATCCCTAAACGACCACAATCTGCACAGAAATCAACCAACTCAAGGCCTCATTCTGGAAGGCTGTTGTACGCAGATCAAAGGTCAAAGTCAGTGGCCCGTACTAGCGAATCACAGCATGCTTCATTTGATAGTGAAATGGTAGGTCAGTTTATTATTTTTGCTGGCAAAAATTGCTCTCTGTTTGAAAAATTCTCTGGGAAACTTCACTAATATCTGTCTCTTATACACATCTAGATGTGTATAAGAGACAGTGTATATATATATATATATATGTGTGTGTATATATATATTACAGACTATCAAGATTGTTGTACATTATTGATGTGATATAATTGATGTTCATCCTGCCTAAAATGGTATTATTGTTTCATTATTTAACAATTTTCGTGGGGAAATTTAATACTCGACATAAATATCTGTTTTCTCATGTTATAACTCCATGTGACGTGCTTGTTGTCAAATTCAATTAAATTTGTTTTTAATGATATTTTTCTTTCGTTTTTCTTTCGTTTTTCTTTCTTCACAATGCTACGTTTATGTCATAACTTGATTTTGTAGTTTGTAAAAATTGTTAATCACCTCTGTCTTTTGGGCATGTGGTTTTTATGTTTTCATTATTTTATTTGTCAGAGTATTTGAAAAAATTGATGAAGTTCCTTAAAAGAGATTTGTTCATATTTTTAGGAGCCTGATCGTAAAAAATTGGTCTTGGATAGAAGGAAAGAAGAACTGAAAGAAAAGCTAATTCACATCCGGCAGGAAAATGCCAGGGAAGATTTTGAGAATCGAAATATGGGAAGGTACCAACGCATCTTTCCACCTCAGGATAAGAGCTCGCGGGATCGGTATCGAAAGTTGATCAGTGATGCGTTTAACATTTTCCTGGCGGGACGTGCTAACTCCCTTCAAAAGGAAATCGCAAAACTACTCAGTGGATCTCTCAGGGTAAGGAAACGGTGATGTGATGGTCAGAAATTGTAGTTGGGGGGAGGTGAGGATGATGGTGTTTGGGATTTTGATGATACAAGTCTCTCCAATTAAAGACAACTCTTCGGACTTGGGTATCCGTGGTCTTTAGCAGCTTCAGTCGCTGATTAGAATAATTAATTTTAAAGATAAAAGACATTTGTTAACATGGAACCACAGAAAAGTGGTCTTAAATGGGACGGATCTTTAATCAGAGGGAGACATTATTTGCAGTAAATTTTTATGCTGTCTATATGGTGTTATGATAGTTGTGGTCATGTAATGTTGTTGGAACAGATTTAACTATTTAATTATACATGAAACATTTAAATAATTTAGTTTGATTGATATCAAAGTTCTGGAATAGTATTTTTAAAATATACTTTTTGTTCTGGCTTACTGCGAAAAGGCGTATGAACAATTACTTATTGCTGGCGGTACCAATAAAGCATTGTTACTGATTTGCATCTACATGATTATTATTGGACCTTTCTGCCCACCCCTTCGATATTGTTGCTAAGGTCACAGAAAGAAATAGCGTAAATGTGCGTAAATATGTGCGTGTGTGAGACAACATGCATGTTTGTAGGATACACACATATATTCCTGGCCTTGTTGTCAAGTTTGATTGTCCCTCAGAAAAGTTCAATTATTATACTCATTATTAAGTCGAATATTTTCTAAGTCGATCTTTTTTTACATGCCAAATTGTTGTGTTTTCCATTAATTAACAATCTGTAAGTCAAATTATCTAAGTCGAACAATATTTCAATGGCATTTTGGATTCAACTTAGGCAAGTTCAACTGTAAGTATAATGGTGCTTCCCCTTGCTTTCATCCAGTATAATCACATTCACATTACCTCTAATAATTCCATCTGCTTTGTATTATATTTTTCACTTTCATGTTTGTATTATCTTGGAATTTCAGGAGGATGAGATTATTGATATGTTACAGGCTTGCGATATTGAAAATGATGGAAAACAAAAGGCATTTAAAGGCCCTAAGGTAAGGGATTGGAATAACCTTTATAGCATGTGTCATAGCAGTAATATGTGTGTTTTAACCTCTTTGCACTCATGTGTACTTGTAGAAAGTGATTGATTTGGAATAACTCTGGTTGAAAATGCTGCATGACAAGGATTACTCAAGCCTTAGAGATTCTAGAAGGTTGCATGGTGCATGGCCATCAGTGTATTCACAGGAGTATAGATTATCTGTGCCATGAAATCTTGGGGGCCTCAATTCCCTTATATATTCCCTTTCAAAAATCGAGATGTTTTACTACATTTTGACTGACAAGAAATTTAAAATCTCCTGGAAATGAACCCATTTACTACTGTATTATCAACTGTCCTCTAGAAGTCAGCTGGTAATGGGCATCACCATATGTGGCAAAGACAAGCCAAACCAGTCACTCGTCACAAATCCTGTTTCGGAGATAATGGCCAAGACATGCTGGAATGTCAAAATTTTGGAAATCTAATTGCACTAAACTAACCTTTATATATCTATACATCATGCTATGCTGTTATTTTCCTCATTTTCAATGTTAAACATCAATTTTTAACAATTTGGTGATGGTTTCTGCCTAAGAAATGCCTAAAATCGTAAACTTTGAAGGCTGATTTCTCAAATATTGTTCTTTAAACAGCTGTATGTTTAAACTCGTGTAACTTCATAATGAAGTGTCGGATTTAAATGATTTTTTTTTACCATTTTATAGCTCTCATTGTACTGTTAAACCCTGTATTAATAACTCAAAAATTGATTTTTCCGACGAGTGACTGGTTTGGCTTGTCTTTGCCACATATGCAGACATATAAATTTAGGCTGTTTTCCACTAGGCGAATTTATTCACGCAAATCTGAAGTGTTAGTTCATGCGCATGCACATTCACAATTCTATTGGAGTTTTTTTGATTCAGCAAAATCAGTAGTTCGAACTGTTTCTACTTTTTGCGAAGCAAAAAATTGAGCAACCAATCAGAGCTCAGGAAGCAGACCAACACTTTCGATTCGTGCGAATAAATTCACCTAGTGGAAAACGGCCTTTAATGTGTTAAGAAAGCTTATGTAATCAGATCCCTTGAAAGTGGCCTCTTCCAATTTGCTACCCCTGAATCTTAAGAATATTTTTTTTAATCACATTATTTTCTCCACATCTAAACATCTAAAAAATCGTCATACAAATTAGGTGATTTTATGTGTGAATTGTTTTCTGTATTTGCAGCCGTTGTCATCCATGCCATCAGTTGTTGATGAGGTCACTGAATCTGATTCTCGTGCATCCTCACCGACATCCTCCTCTCCACACAACTCTGTGTCAAATTTCAAAACCAGGCTTTCCGTTAGCCAGTCTCAGAGTCAGTTGAGCAAAGGTATATCAAAGACACCCATCCCTAAACGACCACAATCTGCACAGAAATCAACCAACTCAAGGCCTCATTCTGGAAGGCTGTTGTACGCAGATCAAAGGTCAAAGTCAGTGGCCCGTACTAGCGAATCACAGCATGCTTCATTTGATAGTGAAATGGTAGGTCAGTTTATTATTTTTGCTGGCAAAAATTGCTCTCTGTTTGAAAAATTCTCTGGGAAACTTCACTAATATTTACTGAAGTGTAATGTAGTGTTTGTAATTTCCTTCAAAACAGAATTCTGGTTTTTTGCCAATTCGAAGTGTTTAAAAGGATACTTTTTAACTGTTTTTAGTCATTCAGTTAGACAATCATTTAAACAACAAAACTATATCCATCAGTTAATCAATAAATTTATTTAAATCATTCAATTAATCAATCAAATCAGTCAATAATTTTATCAATCGATTAAAAACTAATAATCAATCAAAAAAGCTACCAACTTAACAGAAAATGCAAAGCATCAATCAATAATTCAAACAATAAAAACATCAATCAATAAAGAAAATAATTATTAATCAGAAACCAATGCAATCCGTCATTAAAATTAATAATTCAATCAAAAATAAAGAACCCCTAATCAATTAAGAAACAACAATTAAAACATAATTAATTCAATCAATAAAGAATTGTCTATCGGTCAAGCCATCTGTCAGCCAATCATCTGTATGTAACACTTTTTTTGTCATCTTATTATGACAGGATGAGGTAACATCTGTTGTGGTCAGGGAAGAAGAGATGATGCGAAAGACACTAATGGCACTCAACGACATGCGAATAAAATTTCCGGGAAAAACAGATGAAGAAGCCGATATCATTCTGAACCAGGTAAACTTAAGCGCTATCAAGATTATAAAATTTTCTTTGATAAAAAAATATTGTATGCCGATATAGTCATGATGCACGTGCCTATATATGGTCATGATGTGGTATCATCATGACCATATATAGGCATCTCACATGTTTTTCGTCAAATGAAATAGTCTTTACAGAGCTTTAAATTAGCTTGCTCATTGTTAATGATTGCGTTCAAAATCATGATGACTATTAATGTTAAAGTTACGTCGGTACAAGTGGTGGTGATAACGAGGATGACTTCAGTGGTGGCGTGAGCAGGCGGGAATTTGCCCTCCCGTCGGACGGGCCTGGACCCAACTCTCGTCCGATGCCACAACGCGGTCATCGGATCAAAAATTTTAAACAAATTATTATTTGCCCATCCAAATAATGTTATTTTGATTACCAATCCCTAATAATTGTAGTCTAAAAGCGCAATTTGGACCATACTGAACCATAAAAAAACTCCCTGTGAACCCTACCTTTGATTTTTTTATTCCAGGATCCGGATCAAGGCTATAGTCAGCCTCTTGCTTTGAAACCCCCCTCCCCCACCTGACATGTCCGAATTCTTGTCAGCAAATTTCTGGTGCCACTGTGGGTGACTTTAACGAGGACTTGATTACTAGTTAAAACTAGATTGCTAGTGATGATATTAATTCTGTTTTGAAGATTATCACAGTGGTAATCACAATCATGACCATGAATTATGGTTACGATGGTGAAAGTGGCTATTAAAACTTTTTTTTTTTACAAGATTTCTAAAGGCTCATTGATCAAATACATACATAGGAAATTACTGATAATGTCACCCTGACCAGTCTTGAGAATTACTAATAGGCAATCTGATATCAAAGTTGGGTAAATTTAGAATATTAAATGCTTTTGAAATGAGTTCGGGCTTGCCATTAATCATTAATTACATTTCCATTTTCTTTCTCAAATCCCAATCATCCTGATATAATGCAAGCCTTATTGCCTCACTTCCTTCGCTTTCAGTTTTGCAATGTTTTGTCAGACTTTACTTACTTGGATGAAGAGATTTAAATACAGTAAAACAAATATTATTTGATTATTTTATGGTATTTTGAAACTTTTGAACAATTGTTATTTTTATTTCATAATATTTCCATTCTCTTGAGAAATTCATATTTTTTTTCTTTTGTATTTATAGCTTCTTTAGAAGACTTGCGTTTTTCTATTTTTTGTTTTTGTCTTTTCTTAGAATAGCAGTAATTATAAATTGATTTTTATAATTTCTTTGAATGAATGAAAAGGTGTGAAAATGAGAAAGCTTCTAATAGACAAAAGCGCAGTAGCTTATAAAATGTGTTTTATTGATGATGATGATGATGATGATGATGATAATGTTAATGATGTTTAAACCATTATAGAACCTTAATTGAAATCTGTTGATGTTTCAAGAACTTAACAGCAATTTCACTACATATTTTCTGTAGAGTAAACGTGAGGTTTAATGACAAAATGAGGCTTGTTGTATGCCATATCATTTTTGTTATTTAAGAACAAGTGTATAAAGTTGGACAAAAATTGTGTTTCAATGTTTTAAATAAATTTAATAAGTATATTTTACAATATCAATTTTTTTTAGTTGATTTACATAGATCAATAGAGTTTTTGAGGCACATTTTATAGAGCTATTTATCAGAAAACCAATAAAAAATTCATCAGTTTGTTTTCGATTTTCTCTAATTTCTCTAAAATGTGTTTTCAGATATCTGAATTTCAAAGAAGTCTTACTCTTCTTGTCCTAAAACATAGGAACCTGATTTAAAGACCAAAATAAAGCTTATAAAACCATTGTCATGAATCGAAATATATCTATTGGTACCACAAGACTCATTTGTGACTACACCTCATATTTAACATTATTCTTACTTTTGTAAACATTACTGTGACTGCTTTTTGTAATTAATCTTTAGATTCAAGAAAACTGGAAATACCATAAACCTCGGATAGCCTCCTACTGGTTGGTAAAGCTTGATTCCATAAAGCGTAGAAAAGTAATTGACATCGTTAAATCAAATGTGCGTGCAGTCCTTCAACGAACATGGCGTTGTCCAGACGTTGAATGCTTGAAATTGTGGCGCATATTTTACCGGCTTTTCAATCGTCTTCTTTGGAGTCATGGGCAAGGTCTATGGAACTGCTTCTCATCTAATACAAGGTATGTTATGCTTGTTTGTTTATATAATAATTTAAATATATAATTTTTATTTTTTTAAATATTGTTACTTATTACAGATATTTTGATTGATGATTAGCATTGTTTACCTCACATTACATCCAGTAAACTGGAATACTATAGGTTAGTCAGCTGGATAAAGTTCAATGGAAATTATTCAGACAAAGGTTTTAACTGGATTTCTGTAGTCTAGTTCAGTGTCAGGTCCTCAGTTAGTTAAGTTGAAAACAATCCAAATAATCACAGTCTAAAATATACTATCATTTTCCATTCTAGTTTTTCAATGTGTTGGTCATGTACAACTGACCAGTATTGATTTAAATAACTGAATAAAGTTTGATATCAGTGCATATGTTATATGTACCTTGACATTTTTTCAATAAAATACTAGTATAGTAGATAGTTAAATAGACACAAGTTTGGTGTGAACCAGGTTGCCCATGATGATGATTCATTTTAACACAATGCTCTTCAACAACAAAAAACAACAATCTACCTTCTAATTTTCTTTCACTATTTTTTCCATTCTCCTTATTCTTTTTATTCTTCATCTTCTTATTGTTGCATTTTCCATCATCCAGATAATACCATCTCTCTTGTTAATAATATTTAAGGAAATTCATTTTTGTATAAAGGCTAAATTGTAAGCATAATAAATAATTTTTTGTCTTCAATCATTTTGATCTCAACTTTGAATGCAGTGTTTGGCACCAAGCCAGACAGTATATCACAACAATGTAAATGCCAAAATCATATCATTTCACCAGGCAGTACCTCTAAATGGGAAAAAATAATGTGTTCTTCCTACCCTACAAACATTGATGCTTTTGACATGTCCACCATGACCCTCAGACAATCAGTAATGTGCAACCTGGTGAGAAATGAAGAACTGCCACACAGATGGACCTTTTCTGGACTGTCAATCAAACTTCACACAGAACATTGCCAGTCATATGCATGTGTCCAACAAGTGTTGCCCCTAGTTTTGGACCCTAGTAACAATATCCAAGAGGTGGGCTTTAAGCAAAATGGTTAATTTTCAAGAGCAAGTTTATAAAAGTATCAAAGAACTGATACACTCATTGAATACCTTTATTGCAGTTGCTCTTGGGATGCTATTTTCAATAAGAACAAAGAGGCTGTGTCTGGTGCTGAATTCATGTGCTGTCAGCGGGTCATTGAACTTTGTCGTCAGTGCTTACTCATTGTTTATCAGTTTGCGGCAGAAGCTAAGTTATCCATACCGGCAGCATCGGGCGAAAGCTCGCCAACGAAGTAAGATAATTTTGTTTTCTATCAATAATAGTGTTAGAAATAATTTTCATTATATTGGGTATCCTGTTCAGTAGATATCAACCTCATCATATAAAAACATACAGTGAGGCTTAAAGAGTGGAATTGTTTTAGTTGTGAGAAAAAAAATCTTGCTATCACAGGAATTAAAACCTTTTTGACATATTTAGATAGATGAGTATAGGCTTTATTTTGGTCTTTTAAATCATGATTCAAGGTTGAGTTAAACCAAAGTTAGATCATTTTAAAATTCAGATGTCTATAAATGTACTTAAGAGAAAATTGCTAACAAAATGATTAAGTTTAAATGATCATGATTACAACAGTTATAACAATAACAGTCAAATTATGCTAATGCTGTTCTATGAAATCAATCAGAAAATTTACCAACAGTATTAACAGATGACATTTCAATAAAGTATGAAAATGTATTTAAAAAAAATGAAAACATATTTAAACAGCAATAATATTCTTAGTATTGTAACCAAAACTACAATTGTTATAAAGTAAATGAGGTCATTATTGAAATTACCAAACTGTGCCAGTTCATAATAGAACCCAAGATAATTTCTACATGGATACAGTACACATTGTGTATTATGCATATAGATGAACATAAATAAAAATTAAATATTCCTTATTAGGACACAGATAGCAGTGAAGCAGTTGTGAGTACTAAATCTAATTTGTTCTCATAGCTGTGAGGAAATGACAACACATTCCTAGTGTGTCAACAGGCCTACATATTTTTAGGTTTTTTTTTGTGAACACATACAGACACAATTTTAAAATAATTTTCCTCTGAATTGTGATTGCTCATTTTATTTTCATGTTTTTCCTCTTCCTTGTATGTTAAATGTTTATCTTTACAAAAACTATTGTACTACATTCAACAATTGATTTTTTTGTTTTTGTAAAATGATGTTTTTATTTGATTAATAGAAACAATTGGTATCTTTTTCCTTAAAATTCAAAAATCGGTGATCATGATTTTTGTTCCGATGCCATAAGCAGTGACTGTTGGAATGGCCCCAAAACACTGGCATATTAATTGATTCCATGAATTTTGAAAAGAATTTGTTTCCTAGTGCTGTGACAATGCTCAACCTGTTTATTTATGTCTCGTCATCATTGCATGCAAGCATTAACCTTCATGTAACCTTCATCATTACCAATATTTTTTTACCCTTGCCTGTCTAAAGAAGAGGTGAAGAATACTGCAATAGCGCACACGCTTGTGTGTGTGTCTGTGTGTGTGTTTGTGTCTGTCTGTGGTGTGCGTGTCCTTCCATAACTTGTCCGATTTACTTTAAATTTTTACACATTGACAATGTTACATACCTATATCCTGCCCAAAATTGGTGCTGATCGGAAAGTAAGATGTAAATATTAGAATGTTATTTATATTTTTTCCGGCTGCAACAGACATCCAATTTTAAGTGGAAAGTTCAACCTCATTTGACTATGCGGAGCTAACTAAAGTGGATCAACCATGGACCAGAGTGTGTGAGGGAGGCGCGATGATGTACCAGAACCTCTGAAGGGGGTCCAGGGGCTCAGCGACCGAAGCCCTAACAATTTAATAATTTTGAATGCTTAAGGCCCATAATCGATCTTACAGCCTCATATTCTGTAAAAGTTTCATGTTTTTTTTCCCCCTAACAAATGTGTTGAGTTCTTCTTTGAGAGAGCTCTCTCTGACGGGAATCTGCCTCCGCAACTGGCACTAACACTTAATTTCAATTTTCGAAAAATTAGAGTTTGTTGGGAACTGATGGTTTAAGTGCTTAGCATGATATGTGGTAAAGTGCCACATTCAATAGTCTGCTTGAATAGTGGCCAATAATAAGCAGGCTTGAAATAAAAAAGTAAAAGCATATCTTTATGCCAGAAATATTTTTTCAGGGTTGCTGGATGTTTAGTGTTTTCGGTGACAGGTAATAGAACTGTCTGTCTTCCTTTTTTCGTGCAAGTGTAACTTGTGCAAATTATCGTTTTCTGAATTGTTGGGCTTTTTTTTCCCTGTCAGAGTAAAACTAGATATTTTTTTCTTTCATATTAATCTTGCTTCTTATGCCTATTCCAGATATATTATCTGCTCGGACTTTGCCCATACAACAACAACTCCCTGGTAATAGTAATCCTGGAGAAGTATTTTCAAACCAAACATGAAGTTACAGACATAATCATGACAAAAACACAGTATTTTTTTTTTAACCGACATACAAAGTTTGTCCAACTTATAGGTTGGCAGACAATCGATATTTTCTTTGTGATTTCACCTGTCCTATATCCACCAAATTCCAGGAGTTTAAAGCCTAAAAACATTTCGCCTGTAAAATGTCTGGTCTACTCATAATAAAAACAAGTCTCTGATAAAGTTTTTATTTTTAATTTGCTATGTCATACTTCGCTGAACTAAGACTACCAATTTTTTGGCATTTTTCGATTTGTTGGTAACAGATTTAATTCTAGATCTGGATGTTGATCACCCCTACTTCCTATTGGTCCAGTGTTTTGGCCTTCACTTTATTGAAAAAATATATATCGAAAGGTTATTAATTTTAGCTTCTTTAAAATATTTAATTTTTTCTCGCGGGGCAGAATAATTTGCCCCGTGGGAAGCCTATTAAGGACTAGGGCCTACAGCAACCACGTACAACAACCAGCAGTTTGATTAAAAGGCCATAGAAAAGGTGTTGGATGTCACAAC